ATTTATCAACAACGTAGCTTTACAAATAATTAAAAAAAAAACCACTTAAACTAATTCAAATATGACTCAAACAAATTCTGAAATAGACTAGGCCTTCATATATATATATATATATATATTTACCAACAACAAAAGATATATTTACCAACAACGTAGCTTTACAAATAATTAAAAAAAAAACCACTTAAACTAATTCAAATATGACTCAAACAAATTCTGAAATAGACTAGGCCTTCATATATATATATATATTTACCAACAACAAAAGATATATTTACCAACAACGTAGCTTTACAAATAATTAAAAAAAAAAACACTTTTAAACTAATTCAAATATGACTCAAACAAATTCTGAAATAGACTAGGCCTTCATATATATATATATATTTACCAACAACAAAAGATTTGATGTGTATCAAACATTTATCGGAATACGAAATGAAAATATCTGTCCCTTCATGAAGATGTATATTTTAATGCAAATAATATGATATTTATAAGGTAGATTGAATACTTTTTTTGTTTCAAAAAATACTATATAGTACATACGATTATTTTTCTTTAAGACAAATGATCTAAAAGATTAGTTAACCTTGGCATTAATCAATTCTAATTTTCCAGGTGGCTATATTTAATAAATATTTCATATTTAAAAGCATTCAACGAGCAAAATAAGTTATTAAATACCTTCTTTATATGTTCAGACATTAGCGAAATAGATCTAAAACCAACATGTATAAGCTCTATTAATTTAGTTATTTAACATTATTAACTAATGACACATCATAATTAATAATTTAAAACAAGTTTTTATGCAGCTAATACTTTTTTTGAAGAAACTGACTTTATAAACATAAATGTGATTAATTTACATTTTAAATAGTTACTATGATTTACTACAAGATTACAGCTAAGCATATCAATTTGTAGTACTCACTAAACACTGAAATAAGTGCCTGAAGCAGATTTGGTTTTTCAAGAGTTTATATTATCATGTATAAAATTCTGGTAATTCCAAGACTCTGAAGTAAAACGATATATATATATATTTTGTGAAATTAGCAAACAATATTTGAATTTTAAAAAAATATGCTGTAACCAAGTTTTGCAAGCTACAGTATGACTTCGTTTTAACTTAAACCATAATCAGTGAACAAAGTTTTATTTTCTTTAGTTTTGATAAGCATTAAGGCTACAATAATGATAAAATGGAGTATCAGTGATGGTGTGAATGGGGGGGGGGGGGGTATCAGGAGCGGGTACCGTCTGGGGGCTGGTCACTGATTTTTTAAAATACTATGGGCACCAAAAAACAAGAGCACAGTGAATACTTGAACTCCCATTGCATAGTCATGTTCCAACATATAACTGAACACTTCAAAACTAGGATTATAAGATATACAAGTTTTTTTTTGCTACTCACTTATCAACTCTCTTCGGAAGCCATGGAAGTTCTTGTACACTATGCTTTCTTTGGTTTTCTATAGCTGACGTCATTCACTACAAGAAAAACGCATAAATTCTTTATAATAATTACTAGCTCTACAGTTGCTGAGTAATCCATACAGCTATCAGATTGATAAAATTATATATTAATTGATCTTAAATATGAACTTTTCTAGACAACAGAATATTTAATATATTTCTTGTGTCAAAGAGTATAGGAACAGCCTCTGGTAGTGTGACAGATAACAGAGTTTGTATTTTTCTTTAAATGCAGTTATCATTGATGTGTTAAATGTTATTTTACTGTATATAATTTCCATGCAGCACTACCAATGTATATTCAACATAGTTCTAATGTGACTAGTAAATGTCATAACTCTTTAAAGGTCTAAAAAATAGTTTAATTTCAAAATTTGATTAATTATAATTACATCTTTTTTTTTCATCAACATGTAAGTTTTACTTGTAATAATTTGTTTATGCATTTTTTTTTTGAAATTGTTATAACACTCAATTTAGCAGCTTATATTACATTACTGAGGTTAACGGATGATATTTCAGTGTTTATTTTTTAGCCATTTTTATTCCCTTGTACTGTTTCATAGTTACCAATATAAATTTATCAATACATTAATTTAAGGTTTGTTTCATTAATTGTATAAATTACATATACAGAACAAAACTGAGTGTTTGTGTAAGATTACTAAACGTCAGTGTTATATTTTCTCCTTTTATAAGAAAACACAACTAACCAATTGTTTTAATTTTACTCAGGTTCAGAGTTAGTAAAGCAAAAGTCACTCAAATACAAATGTTAGACTTGCATTTTCAAAATTAATCACTAATATGAAGTTTCAAATTTTACAAAAATTTTACAGTAAAACAAGCTTAGAAAAAGAAAAGAAAAAAAGGAGCACTATAATAACTAATGAATTTTTAATGGTGCACAGACGATGTATAGAACAACTTTTAGAAAGTTCTAGAAAGAAATACACTATTAATATTCTTTTATAACTATTCTAATGTCTTATGCAAAAGGTTTGAGGTTTCTCTTATTTTTTCTTTTTCTACACTATCAACATTTCATTATTTTACTTTATTTCTTCCCAATTTCTCACGACACAAAAGTATACTTTTGCCTTGGTTTAGAGAAGGAAATAAAATTTTAAAATCTTGTCACGTAAATTGTAATATAAAGCACTTAAATGTATTATAAGTTTACGATTAAGCTATTAAACATTCTAAAACCATACTTAGCCGATTTTCAAAGGCTTACTGAAGGCCTAAGCTGAGGTAAAACTATAATCTATTAGTATTACTATGCCGTAGTCTTCGCAACCACTCTCGGTCTCAGCACTGACGTTAACGAAAACGTTAGCTAATTTCTTAGCAACCAACTATTGACTTCAACTTTCTCGAGAACAGGAAACTGTGCGATGCTAAAACGCACCTCAGTTTATTAAAGCAGTAGTTTAAAAAGTTAAGAAAAACTTAAATTAATGAAATATAATTTAATAAACTTACTATTTCATGTATTCAAACCGGATGTAAAAAAATATCTGAGGCCCAATGTATATTAGTGTAGTGTTCAGCCGAGAATTTTGAGGCGACACCTAGTACCAATAGTAATATAAACTTTAATATATAAATAATCAAATACATTTGTCTAATTCCACATAATTAGGTAACATAAAGTACTAATTACTGCAAATATATATATATATATATATATACTATTAAGGTTGTGAACAACACTTGCAATATAACTAATCATATGTCGTTCTAAATATCAGGTTATCAAGTAATCGTAATTCATTCATTTATGAAGGGAAAAATATTATAATAAACATTACCTTTTATGAAAAACCACAATAAACTTCGCAGCAACAAATCTGAATACTTTTTGCACTAAAAATCGGGTTTCGATACCCGTGACGAGCAGAGCACAGATAACATATCATAGCTTTGCGCTGAACGACAACCAAACAAAAATAGCTATTGTGTGGGTACAAATACTGACTTTATCTTGCATCAGTTGTAGAATTACCTGAAACAAACATTCACATTTAATAGTTTGACTCTTCCTTGTTGTTTATTTATGATGTTAAATTACATCCTTTCTACACTAGTCTGTAAAAAAGTAAAATGATTAATAACAATTTACATGTCAATGAATGCTATACTGAGTTTGAGATATCATGAAAATGAAAACTATGTTTACTGAATTTTACTGTATTCAAACCATTTATGCAAAATACATTATATGATCCAAGCAAACAAGTTACCTTTTTCTTTGTACTAATAATGAAACTACAATATACTGAATACAAGTGAAAGGAACTTCTTTGACTTTTTCCTTTACAAATAAAATAAGAATTAATTTTTTTTATTCCAACGCAAGCGAAGGTTACACCTCTGCTAATCTATAGCAAGCAGGAGTTTCATTAATTTTAGAGAAAGTCCCAATTCGCGAGGTCACAAGTAGGCTGGTATAATTATACTTACAGCATGATAACAATTGGTGGTATGTACCATATGTCTATGTTTTAAAGATTGTACACATAGAAAATATGTTTGAGGTTATTTTTATGCAATATAAAAAATATCAGTTTAAAAATTATCTTAATCTTGCTGGAAGTATTTTGTGTTAGAATAAATTCTAAACACTAAGAGACAATTCTCAGTTTACATATAAATATGAGAAGGTATTAGAAATGCAGAAAGTTGAGAGCTTTCCATCTTAACTCTATTTTTTTATAGTATTTTCAGTTTAATTTTTTCTCACTTCACGCTACCACAACTTGTTGGTGATAATTTTACAAATTAAGAAACTTGTGAATGTACAAACATTCATGGATGTATTATCACTCCTTAATATTCTGCCAGTGGAGCTGTAATCGCAAAGTAATGTCATTACTAAAGCATAAAATGGCTTCTTCTAGACTAAAACTGCTAGATGATGCTGACTTATTTGAGAGGTGTGGTTTTGAACCTAAGTTCCAGTCATTAAGAAAGAGGGGGAGTCCATTGATAGCTAAGAGCCGGGTCTACAACAGTGGATTGTAGAGTTTTTAGACTTTGAAATCCAGCATTTAGAAAAAAAACGGATGTATTTATATCTCCAAATGAATAACCAAACAGATCATTAAGGCACAGACTTTTTTTTTCTAATTTTTGTATAGTTGATCAGATTGATTTTTGACTTTCGTGTATAGTCGTTTAGCTATTAAACAACTTTCTAAGCTAAGAAAGGAGCTAGAACAATCAGTTCTAATTGTTAAGAATCAACTTTTAAAGTAGTTTAATTTAATATTATTGTAGGTTAAAAGTTTTGGTCCAGAAATGCGCAAAAACAACAACAACAACAACAACAAAGTATCAGTGTACCTAAACAGTTTAGCACAAAGTAGTCTTTCTGACTATTACACACATTATATAAATATGGTGGGACAGCGGTAAATTTACAGACTTTCAATGCTAAAATCCTGGGTTCGATTCCCCGCGGTGGACACAGCAGATAGCCCAATATGGCTTTGCTTCAAATCAACCAACCAAACAGCCAATTTTTACGGGCCTGGAAGAGTAAAGTCTTATCCGTAATGTAGAATGTTAATCCTCATTGTCCCACCAGAAATGATCTGACGGACATATTTTCTTGTTTATTGACAGCCGAATATGATCAACGCTGCGTTCCGGGGGTACGCGCTGTACTAAGTGCCCCTATAGTTTATTATTGATTTGAAACTGTTTTAAAGGTTTAAGCTATAGTCTTATGTTGTGCTGCCATCTTCCGAAGACAATACAAAACTGTGATACGATATTTGTAAATTCTGAGACGCTTGTTTGTCTTTCGAATTTCATGAAAAGCTACACGAGGGCTATCTGCGCTAGTCGTTCCTAATTTTGAATTAATAAGAGTATAGTGGGATTGAACGTAACATTATAACGCCCCCACGGCTGAAAGGGCGGGCACGTTCGGTGATGGCATTCGAACCCGCGACCCACAGATTGGGAGTCGAGCGCCTCCTAACCACATTGAATAGTGATGTAAAATTACATTAGGGTTATCTGAGGCTCCAATTTTTGAATTGACAGACTAGAGGAAAAGCAGCTAGTCGACCGTACCCAACGCCAACACTTGGGCTACTCGAATCGAAAAATGAGATGGGATTGTCCTTGTGAATAGCGTATTCACAGCCCCAAAGTGCGGAGGGCGATTTTGCGGCAACGGGAGGCAAACCATGGACCCTTTGGTTTCACGTTCAGTCACAAAAACCACTAGGCAGGTGTTAGTTCCTCTCATAAAATCAAACTCGTCATTGAGTGCTGTAGCTCCGATATTTGAGACAATAATTATTCTAACTGTTGCCTTACTCGTAAACATTTACTTGGTGCCCTTGCAGCTTGTACGTTTTTTTCAGTTTCTCGTCTACGTTCAGGAAGGACGTAGTGTTCTATTTTGAATATGAATTCTTTAATCTACGTGTGACATAACTTCTAACTGGGCCGCAGTACTATGAGGTTTAACACAGGATGTTAAGAAGCTTACTATTATTAAGAACCAACGATCCAGGCAATCTAATGAGGGTCAGTTCTTGGGTAATAAATACAGGCTCTAAAAGTGGCCCAGATTCGTATATTTAACATAAATACGAATCAAAAATTCATAGTTATTACATTACTAAGTGTTCTAAAAAAGAAACAAAAAAAGAGTTAATATACGCTCAACTTCAAATACAGTTCCTTTATATATAAAAAACAAAAACCCGTCCGTCGTATATTTACTCATGTTTTGCGTTAGTACCAGCACAAAAATATCAATTATTCCAGTATCAGAAAATCAGTTTTTTTTTTAAATATCTTCAACATATAGGTTGTAACACGTTCGAAAATTAACAGTTTTGTTCAAAATGTAACAGTTTGTTTGTAATTAAGCACAAAGCTACACAATGGGCTATCTGTGCTCTGCCCACCACGGGTATCGAAACCCGGATTCGAGCGTTGTAAGTTCCGCAGACATACCGCCGTGCCACTGGGGGTCCCCTATGTCTTGAATAATTTTTTATTCAGTTTAAACAAAGATAGGAAGAAAATATCATGTCGCGTATCAAGAATAAAACAAGTGAAGCTGTGCCACTGGGGGGCCAAAATGTAACAGTAAGTTTTATTTCCACCAGATTTTTGTATTTAAATAAAGAAATGGCTAGTAAATGAATTTTTATAGATCCGAAGATTATCTAAATTGAAATGAATTAGGGTTATTGTACAATAGTTTAATTTTTTTTTAAATACTGGATACAAGGACAGAATAGGTTAATTAATTAAATACAGGTGTATAACAACAATAAATTATTATGACAAGCTGGATTGTAAGGAAATAACGAGTCTGTTTGTGGTAATTATTTTTGTTGTAGATACAGTCCAAATAGTCCATTGTGCAGGCCCGGC